TAGATGGAGCATTCTAAATATGTTCTTCCCAGCTGGAATGTAGGGAGATGTCCAAAAAAAAAAGGATATATACTGACCAAGGAGGACACATTCCAGAAACCACGGGAGGCTCAGCAGGACGCAGTGGGTGCTCAGAAACCCATGGACACAGTAAGAAATAAAAGGCATAAATGATATCAGGAGATTGCAGAAAGCTGGCACATCAAACTCAGCAGCCACTTACAAAGCATTAACTAATATCTGAGTAGAAATAAACTAAGTATTATTTTTAAACTATTTGGAAAAAAACAGTAGAAAGTATCATAGAGGGACACGAACTCCCAAAGCCATTCCTGTGAAAATCAAATAGAAGGAAACACAGGACTTTCTTACCCTCCTTGATTTCAGAAAATTTGGGGGGAAATAAAGGCAACTTATGCAAATTAAACAAATAAAAACACAAACAGGAAGGATTTATCTGTAGCTGCAGTACAGTGCATTCTAAGTACATGATCATATAAGACAACTCAAAAGATTCTCCAAAACCTAATCTAGCAGGCTGGGGGGCTTCAATCTCCAAAACCTAATCTAGCAGGCTGGGGGGCTTCAAGAGAAGGTGCAGGTATCTGGCCTTGTCCTCTTCGTAGGGAAACAGCAGTGGAAATGCGCAAATGTGCACATCAGTGGGGCCGATCTAGAGCCCGAAGCCCCAAATTGGGGGTGTCCGGGCTGTGGGGCTTGGGCTCCTCTGGAACATGTTTAGCAGCAGGGAGTGTGGGAGACATCACAGCTCACAGGCCTAGAAGCACAGTCCCCAGGCGCAGCTCTCCTGGAACCCCGGGCAGCCCCTGTCCCTCTGTCATACTCTCCTCTCGGGAGCTCCTGAGAAGTGAATGAGCTGAGCATGGGAGCCTTCACAGGGGTTGGCATCGGTCCATACTGTCACCCTGACAGGTGGCATCAGGGAGTGGAAGCCCAGGCATGAGCTGCCCTCCTTGGCTCCTGGAAAGCCCTGAGGGGTGCGGGCCAGGCAGCCCCGGGCACAGGTCCTGAGTAAAACATTCCAGGGGAAGCAAGCTCAGGGCAGGGGGGGGGGCTCAGGGCCAGGGGGCACTTGCCTTCATCTACGGGGAGAGGCCCCTTGAGGAGAGAAGGAAAGTGACAGATGGTCTGGAGGGGGCAGCCCCAGGTGAGGACTGAGTCCCCGGGGAGATGGAGCAGGAGGCCCGGGCTGGGGTGGCCTGGTCCCCATGTATCTAAAAGGAGCTTGAGGGGCAGGGTTCTGGGGCCTCCCCATCAGCAGTGGGCTGTCCTCAGTGGTGCCCCCACCAGCACTGCTGAGCACAGGCTGTGACATGGGTACTGAGGTCATGCTGTGTTCTGGCGACTGCCCCTGGCTGTGGGAACAATCATGAGGACATTTCTGCAGCAAAAACTCCCTTTCTGGCCACGTGCACTGACCCCTGTATGACTGGTGCCCATGGCAGCGAGTCTCAGACATGCTCTGACACCCTTTCTTCTCTGGCCCTGTCCTGCAGAGAATGAAGGAGCAGGGCAAGATGCTCTGCCAACAAATACAGAGAATTGACCTTGAAGTCAGCTGCACCTTCACCAACCATGTGATGTTTCACGACCGCTATGGCATCAAGTAAGCTCCTGGGGGGGTCGGGCATCTCGGAGAGTGGAGGCCCCAGGGGAGATGAGGAAATCCAGAGGGACATGGGAGGCCCAGGAACATGGAGAGTTCCCAGGGGAGAGGCAGGGTTCCCAGAGGAAGGAGGTGACACAGCTGCCGAGCTCTCTCCTGGCACAGGGAGCGGCCTGCACCATGTCCCCAGCACCTACCGTGCACCGAGTCCTGAACTGGGGCCTGAGGCACGTGGGGCAGAACCCAGCTGGCTCCCCAGAATGATGGCAGCAAACACAGTAATGCCACATGGTGAAAACTGTTCTCCATGAGCCAGGAGGATCAGGGTTAGGGACCTATGGGAGAGCGGCAGGACCAGGGACTCCTGGCCTTTTGCTTGTGACTGGAGACATAAAGGGTGACAGGGAGCAGGCTGAGTGAACAGTAAGGGGACAAGTTTGGTGTGGAGAGGCAGGGACGGGGGTAGGAAAGGAGCCACCCAGCTGCAGCCAGAGGGAGGCAGAAGGCAGGTGTCGAGGTGAGGCCGTGGCCGGGCCTGAGCGGCTGGCTGTGCTCCTGCCCTTACCAGACTGCCACAAGGGGAGGCCCAGTGCCCAGGGAGGGGAGACTGGGAAGGGCAGGTGCATCTCAGGGTCTGTTAGGCCACAGGAAACTAACAGCATGGGCACGGAGCCACCAGATCCCTCTATTCACCCTTTCCTAGGCAGCAGGAACTCTTCCACGTGCTGGTAGCCTTTTCTGCCTATGACACGGTGAGTATCCCTGGCCAACGACAGCCCGGGCCCATTCCCATAGTCACTGGCTTGGGTGTCCCAGGGATTCATGAGCACCCAGGACATCCTAGTTAGGGTGCGAGGTCACTGCTCTCACAGAGGTCCCAGCGAGGAGAGGAAGGTCTCTAAGCTCAAGCTGAGATGGAAAGGGTTTGTCCAGGCTCCTCCCTCAAGTGGATCTGACCACTGCTCCTTAGAACACGGACAGACACCTTCCTGCTGGGGTGTCCATAATCCCAAGAGCTTGGCAGTGTCACAGGATGCTGGTGTCCGGAGTGATCTTCTCTAGGGGAGCGAGGTGCCTCATGGGCTTTACTGACCACTGCTCCTTAGAACGAGGACAGACACCTTCCTGCTGGGGTGTCCATAACCCCAAGAGCTTGGCAGCGTCACAGGATGCTGGTGTCTGGAGTGATCTTCTCCAGGGGAGCGAGGTGCCTCATGGGCTTTCATCAGATGAGTGTGCATTGACAAATGCCATATGATTCTGAGATACTGGGCAGAGATCAAAGTTCCCCTTCCCCGCACCCCACAGAGTGCAGCACCTGGGAGGGCTCCTGAGCAACTGCTCCTCGCTCTGCCCCCGATTTCCAGACCGTTCTTTCAAGAGAAAGCCGCCTAGAGGACTCCCCAGGCTGCCCACGTGGGGCCTGAGCTTAGCTGTCCTCCTGTGCCAGGCAGCCTGTGGGCTGTCTCTGGACTCTGTGCGGGGGGCGCTCAGTGACAGCCATCCCTCATGGTGTATCCAGACAGAGGGTGCTGGCCTGAGCGTGGCGCAGAGGCCTCCCTGGCCCGGCATGTGGGAGGGGGGCTCTCGCCAGTTCTTCATCAGACCTTTCTGGCCAGAACAGCTTGGCCACTGCACTGCAGGAGTCCCTCCAGGAGCTCCGTGTGACCTGACATGTGTGGGACATGCTCAGTTTTGATACCCAGTGTCACAGGAGGGGCACAGAGGCTGGACCCCATATACTAGAAGGTCTGTGGTTGGCCTTTGACCTTAGCTCTCCCAGGTGACCTCAGTCCTTCCAGGTGACTTCAGTCCCTCTAGATTTCACCAGCTCTCCTGGTTGATCTTAGCTCTCCCAGGTGACATCGGCTCTCCCCAGTGACCTCAGCATTCTCAGGTGCCCTCAGTCCCTCTCGTTCACATCAGCCTTCCTAGGTGACCTTAGCCTCCCATGTGACTTCAGCTCTTTCAGGTTACCTTTATTCAGTCTTCTCAGGTATTCTCAACCTTCCCAGGTGACCTGGGCCCTCCCAGGTAACCTCAGTTCTACCAGGTGACATCAGCCCACACAGCTGACCAAAGTACTCCCCAGCAACCTCAGTCCTCCCATTTGACCTCAGCCAGACGAGGTGACCTCAGCTGTCTCAGGGCACAACCTTGCATGGTGACTTTGGCTCTTGCAGGAGGTGGGTTACTGTGAGGGCATGAGCCACATTGCTGCCATCCTGCTCATGCACCGGAGGGAGGAGCACGCCTTCTGGGCACTGGTCCAGCTCATGACAAATCGGCGTCACAACTTGCACGTTAGGTGAACA